AAAAAAAAAAAAGAAAAAATCCCCCTAAACTCCCAACACCAAACTGTTTGTCATCATGGTATAAGCGGGCGATGTTGGGAAATTTTTAGCAATTTTTTTTGCTCCTGCTTAATAAATGTTATGTTATTTCAATAATACATTTCTGCGTGTACTTTACTGAAGAACAAAGGCATACATAATCAAAATCGCAGTTTCCAAGGACACTCTAGCTGAGGAATTCATCAAACTTTGTCCAATATTTTTTTGCGCTACTCTTATCTCTGACAACCAGGCGACCCCCACCTTCTCCTATCGCAAAAACATTTCGCCTTATACTCACGATAGATGGGTAGTTTAATTGTAGTCAGAGTTTAACGGCACTTGCAACACAATAAGATCATATAAATGCCGAAGATCGAAGATTAGGGGTGTTGACAGTAACAAGCACAAAACAAGAGTGAGGGAAGACAAGGACGATAGATGTTTGATAGGAAAGTAGGAGCAAACCACACCAGAGCACCCTCCAAGATGGGTACTTTTTCTCCGAGAGTAAAACAACAAATGAGCAAGATTAAGGATAAGGTACCAATAACATCATCTTTTAATTGACAGGTGCCTGATTCCAGCGAGTCGAGAAACAGTTAAAACGGATTCTCTCCTGGCTGGAACCAAAAGCACATGTTGAAGAGCAAGCACAGGGCATACAGTTCGCAGCTCAAATCGCAGGCAGATACATGTCAGGAAAGAAGCATTAGAGAACAATGTAACAACAGACAAGTTTGATGGATAGAGAGACAGGGGCAGACTGAGGGAAAAGATACTGGACAGGTTGACAACATGGCTGGGAACAGCAAAAACAACAGACACCATCGCTGCAACGCAAGACAGAGTGAAGTGGATGTCTACGATCGCCCACGCCAGTCGGCAAGACACCGGATGATGATGATGGTATGTCGTGAAGGATTCAGTGGAAAAACTGGCACCGAGTGTTATTACAAACTAGACACCACGAGGGTAGACATTCCCAAAGCTTGTAGTCTCAAAACACCATTTCTGTTTGACTGCTGGTTTATTGTTATTGCTAGTTGAACGGGAAGTCAAACATCAGTATTCGACCAACACGATTGGTTATTTTTTCGTCCAACACAGTTGAACTGACTAGTTCTGAGTGTATATTATAAGCTCTTAAGATTGAAACCCTCACGTATTCCAATGTTGTCATATCACCCGCTTTTCGTTGAAGCCGTTCATGTAGTAAACATTTCATCCTGGGCAGAGTAGCGATAGACTCAGGACAGACTAGGACAGCTCGGAATAGTTTGGGGAAATAGTGATGGGTTCACAATAGACTGGAGCAGCTGAGAATAGACTGGGGCAGTAGTGATGGGTTCACAATAGACTGGAGCAGCTGAGAATAGACTGGGGCAGTAGTAATGCGTTCACAATAGACTGGAGCAGATCAGAAAAGACTCGGACAGTAGTGATGCGTTCACAATAGACTGGAACAGCTGAGAACAGACTGGGACAGTAGTGATGCGTTCACAATAGACTGGAGCAGCACAGAATAGACTAGGGCAGCTCAGAATAGACCGGGGCAGCTCAGAATAGACTGTGGCAGTAGAATAGACTGGGTTAGAGTAGCAATAGACTCAGAATAGACTGGAGCAGCTCAGAATAGACTGGGGCAGTAGCGATAGACTCAGAATAGACTGGGGCAGTTGGTCCAGTCTCTGTCCCAGTACTGATGACCGTACTCCCACTCGTCCTTGCGGCTGTCTGGGTTCTTTTTCAGCGAGAACCATCTGTGGGGGG